CAGACTGCTGCGGAAAAATCCCGGCTGGCCCGGGAAGCAGAGGGATTTATTATTTTCCTTCTCTGGTTTCCCTTCCCATCGAAGGGGAAAGATTTGGGGATTTCACGCTGTCGTGCAAGTTTGGGATGGACCTTTGCATCATGGAGCGTAGGCTAGGTAATCCCTCGGCTGGGGTAGATGATGGTGCCGGGGTGGATGAGGTTTCCAGATTAGGACCGTGATTTGGCATCTTTAAAGTCTCTGCCAGCCTAAAAGCTGAGCTATAATAAATCCAGGCTGAGCTAATAAATCCGGACTGAGCATCGGGCTGGCCGCTGCCAGTCAGTCGGAGGCAGCGCAGCAGGTTTCATCCTCTGCCAAGCCGTTGGGGAGAGCATGAGCTCTCCATGTCGCATGCTGCTCCCCCGGAGAGGTACATGGTTTAAAACAGCGACGGGACAGCCGGCTCTTCCCGCAAGGAAAGGTCTGAGACAGGGCTTTTGTAAGTCAGAGGCAGAGTACAGTAAGTTCAGGCCATCCTTTTAGCCTCACTTCTGCTGTGACATCCGGCAGCTGGGTCCGTTTGCTTCCCCTTCTTAAAAGGATTTTGCCTTTTACCACTTCTTTTTGACTCTCCCTAAGCAACACGAGCTCCTCGGGGTGAAATCCTGCAAAACTTTTTGTTCTTCTGCAGATGGGTTATACCGAAACGCTCTGACTTTGCAGAGGTACCAAACTATTTGGTGACCAGTGCCGGTGTTTCCCAGCAAATGTTGCTTTTCGTACCTGACTATGCAGGTTCAGCATCTCCCTCTGGCTTTTTCTTTGGGATTATAATGTGCTCCGCTGGTAATGTACCCACCAAATTAAGCCCGACCTTGTGATGGGACATAAGTTGTTGAACAAACGTCATTTGTTCGCAGGGAGAGGCCGGCTTTGGCAGGCAGCTGCCGTGTTTCCAGCTTGAGCCGCGGCGGAGCAGCACCATTGCCGTGCCACTTTTTTTGCCGGTGCAGGTAGTGGCTGTTAGCCCCGAGCCCTTCCCTGGGACGGTTTCCTATGGCTTTGGTGTGCAGATTGCGGGCGGCTTTTGAACCTGGGAGCTCGGCTTCCTTTGCACGTTGAAGTCCACTGGCTGCTGGAGGAGCTCACTTTAATTTCTCGGCTTTGAAATTGGAAACGCGGCTGTGGGCCTGGTTTTGTTTATCCTGGCACTTCGTGTAAATCGAATCGGCTGGCGGTGACGGTGATCAGCTCACTGGAGTTGTAGGGAGAGTAGCATCATCTCTTGCTGGGGCTAAGGTGGCTTGAGAAATCCGTCAGATCTGGCAGTAACGGCCCCTGGTTGTTATTAGTAGCTCTCGTCTCACCTATCTCCAGAAATCTGCTGTAATAAAATTCCCCAAAATTTATCCTCTTGACACAACCCCAGAGCTCTTTCCGTGTCTTAACCTTCCCCCCCAAGACGGTGCAAGCCCTTGGCTCTGCTCCAGCGCATCTCTTTTACAGTATTTCCCCAAACGATACCAATCTGAACTGATCCTTTCATCTGGGTAATCCCATCAAATCAATCAGGCAGAGCGTGGTTTTTTGTTGGGTTTGGTTTTGGGGGTTTTTTTTGCCTTCCCTCTTTCGTTTTTATTTTAAGCTCTGCTTGGTATTTGTTCTTGGAGTCGCTCTGGGCTCTGCCTACCATAGGTAAAAGGCTGGTCCGGAAATTCGTGTTACATGTGCCCTTGCAGCCAGGCTTTTCTTTTGTGGCTGCTGATCTCCACGCATGCCGCTCCGGTTGTGTTAGAGGGCTGAATAAATGGGCTTTAAAAAATGCTTGTGAGGACAGATCCTAAATAGATAGGGTCCAGAGCTCGTGTCAGAAGCGATCAGAGGCTGGCATTTCTCTTCCAAACATCCGTGGAAGCCGGAGATCTTTGTTTGTTTGTGTTTTGAAAAGTATGTATCTGCTTTGCAAGCCAGGAAAATCCGTCAACTGGAAAAAAATAGCTCGGGCCAGCTTTTAGCTACTCATCCCGACCGAATAACCAGCGTCAGCTGTAAAGAGATGTTGCCTTCTATGTTTAGGAGTAGTTAATTGTGCTATACTCGCTGCGTGCTTGAATTTTTATCCCCAAGGAAAGATAACCTGATATCGGGCTGGATAGTGTTGTCGGGGCGTGGAGCCTGGAAACCCATCCGGGATGAGTCCTCTCTGCGCTCTGACCAAGAGAGCAGTTGAAACCAGTGCAATTAGCTAACGATGTTCTTCTGTAGGCACTTCAGTCCGTGGCGAGGAACAGAAGCCGTTTCATTTGCAAGCGTAATCCCGGAGAGGAAGAAGCCCTCCCGTGTCAAGTATGTTCTTGCAAGCCTTTGAAACGCCGCTCGGCACATCCTCTGAAGAGCTCGGACTTTGAGCGGATCGTTACGGGGCCCCACGTAATTGAGCCGTGTCCCTTTGATGTCCCTGCTGCCGTCCTCCCTGCGCTCCTCCGCATACTTGAGACCTGAAGTCACAAAGGCTGCCCGTCGCCTTCCCCCTTCGCTCGGGCAGGGCAGGCGTTGCTCTGCCTCCCTCGAGATGCTCCTGCCCTTCCCGGGGACGGTGGCAGCAGCACCGTCTAAAGCTCTCTCCCCTGCTTTAGAGATCAGTGGTATTAATTCTCCAGGTTTCAGCCGCTCTTTGTCCACGTGTTTCTACTCGAACACAAGATCGCTGAAGCCTGCTCCGGTACGACAAGCTTGTGGTGCCTCTCTCTTGCAGAGAGCATCTGTAGATATCCCGACTGTCTGGTTGGAAGAGGCTTTGAGAGGCCGGCTCTTCTTTGACTTGTAAAATTCAGATTTTTCCTGCATTGCAGAAGGAAGCTCTGCTCGTTTACACCCGTACAACGTCCAAGAACAGGCAAAGGTTCCTGGAAAAACCAGGGCTAGCCTCTGCCTTGGGCTCTTTACATGTCGTTGACTCATTTGGGAACCGTCTCGGTGTCTGAGGCTGGGGTTGACCTTCAGGTTACAGCAGTGGGAGGGTGGCTTTTCTCACTCTGCAGCATCCCAGGCCTTTCTGAGCCAAAGTACTGATCTGTTTCTCCATTCTGGGATTACTCTAGCTAACCCTTTTTGTTTAAAAAATAACCCAATTTAAACCCAGCACCTTTCACCCTGTGCTGCCCTGTGGCATCCTCGATGGAGAAGCCCAGCCAGCTGATTCTCTACAAGTCAGGTAGAAATGTTTCTAGCAATCTAGCTTGCGGTGCCAAGCTTGGGAGAGCAACTTTATGCTCTGCCGGGGAAATATTTAGGCTGGGAACCTGCTGGTGTGGATTAATGAGTTGCACGCAGCCACGGAATGAGCCAGAAAAACTGGAATTTGGGAACAAAGAGTAACCAAACGTGACCCTCTTCTGGCACTCTCGTCTTTAAGGAGACCTTGGCCACGCTGTATATGTGCCCCGGCATGAGAATTGTTTCCTGCACAGCTTCATTCCCTTTTTCCCCCACAGCCGTATACCTGAGAGCGGCAGCAAGCCGTGCTTTGTCCCTGGAGAAAGGCTCCAGCACCCTGCAGGCATCTCCTCTGCATCTGGCCAGGGGTTGCTTTTTTGGCTGGGCTCTTACCGCCCGACCACCTGGAACCCATCGCAATCGAATTGCTTTTCTCAGCTGCAGCATCTTAAAATAGCTGCTCTGGTTTCTTTTAAAAATAGTCTCCGTTCTGCGTGTCATTACCTGCTAAAAATGTTTCCCAAAGTCCCATTAGGACATCGGAGGAGAGGGGTCGGTTTGGTGTATCAGCCTTTTTGGAGAGGGTGACGGTGCCTCTGCGGCCACGTGCGCAGCATTGCCCTTGAGCTGCAGCCGGGCACGCGCGTCCGTTTTTTTTTTTTCCGGGTGATGTATTTATGATTATTTTGAAAGCGTGACTGCAGAGGTGGAGGAATCTGCCTGGTGCTGGGTGAGGGCTGTGGGAAGGAGGATGCTTGGATGCAGCTTGAGCTTTTCCTGGGAAGCAATTCGGCACCTAACACATCAGCCAAGGTGGTGACACGGCACCTCTGGCTGCTGGAGCAGGCGGCAGGGTTGGTGTTTTCGCAGCGGACCGCGGCCAATTTCCTGACGTAAATTCAAAGGGATCCCATCCTTTGATAGCTGCCCTCGCGAGGGGGCTCTTCGCGTTGAAGTTGCCCTTGCTCCGAGCTGGTTAAGGAGCGATGCGGTGGCCGGGGCACAGACCACAGGCAGCAGGCTCGTAACGGAGCAGCGGCAGGTTGAGAGGTGAGCTCGGCGCTCTGCTGCGCTGCAGGACAACCTTCGGGATGTACGGCATTTTTCTGAGCACAGCAAACTGCAACGGCGCCGGGCCCGAGAGGTTGCATCATCTTGCTTGCGCAGGTCCTGCTCAGGGGGTCCCTGGCCCGAGTGGAGCCTTTTGAACCTTGAACACGGCAAGCAAAAACTCTCTTAATAATTTTTAGAGGAGCGCTTCATTCTGCAGGCTTGAGGAGTGACTCTCAATTCACGCAGCAAAGCGTTTAGGGTTTAATCGTGCCGCTTTGCAAAAAAAGAAGGGAAAAAAAAAAAAAATAGAGTTCGGTGCGTGAGTACCTGCGCGATCTGCCACGAGCGCTTCCGGATGCATTAGAATTGGTATTCGTCCTTCCTCCTCCTCCTTCCTTGAGGAGAAGTTACTAGGTATTTGGAGGTAATTATTGCTTTTATTCAGAGCTAAAGCAATAATTTCAAGGGATACATTAGAAAGCTAGCAATTTCCTGCCAGTGAGTGACGGATGTTTTGCCATACATGAGATGTGCTTTCAGGCTCCTACTAATTACAATGACACAAACTGGCAGCAGTTTTTCTTCCCAGGCTCCCAACTCTAATTTTGCCTTCTTTTCTACTCTTATTTTTTTTTTTTTTATTAAAGGTGGAGTCTCCGTGTTGTCACACTTCAGTAAAACTGATGCAGAGTTCGGTGGCTGCGTTCAAGCGTGGTTTCCTAACCTTCCCCTTCTCTATCTCTGCCCAGGTTCGTACCCCTCACCCAAGGCTGGGGCCACGCTGGTGGTCTACAAGGACTTGCTTGTGCTTTTCGGTGGGTGGACGCGGCCGAGCCCTTACCCTCTGCACCAGCCAGAGAGGTTCTTCGATGAAATCCATACATACTCACCCTCCAAAAACTGGTAAGAGCACATCTGGATTCGAAGCCCAGGCTTTGATCCTGTAAAAATGTGTCTGTAATGCAGCTGG